AATGGAATTATTTAGCTCTGACCATAGGCAAGGTTTTCAGCTCTCAATTGTAAAAGTATTCAAGAATCACAAGCTTGGGTCCTATACCATAAAATTCATTCAGCAAGACCTATTTCTAGCAGGATTTTTTACATTCTTCTTTGAAGTCTGGTGCTTGAAAGTTTTCTGTACATCTATTTTTGTAAAAGTGACAAAATAATGCTAGATGTTTTCTAGCAATGAACTTCACAATCTAAATAATCAACAAGGAAACAAAAACAGATAGTCCAAATGCCTTAAACACGATCCTTAAGTGGGCCAGTTATGAAATGCGGCCGAGGAAGTCTAGAAGGCCTGCTCCTGGATTAGCCAAATTTGTAAAGGATAGGTCTACCAATGGCCACGATAGCTAAATGGAACCTCCATTTTAAAAGCAGTTCATTTCCGACTAGCAGATGCTCAGGAGTAACAATAGAGGAGAGCTGTTGTCTGAACTTCCCAGATTCATCTGGCTAGTCATCGCTACAAACAAGTCCTTAGCATGATGCATCTTTGGATCTGAACCAGTACAGCTGTTCCTATGATCTTTGTAAGGGGGTGACAGGCTGGCGTATATTCTTTTGTATTAAAAGAATAACCTCTTTAACCTTGAGGTCTGTGGACTGGTAAGTTACTAGTATTTTCATTCTGCATCAATAAACACAAATCCAAACACTTGAATAGCAGACAGGACATCAGCTAACATTGGGTGGAAAATGCCACTGTAATTCTTTACACAATATGCAAAATAAGCCCCAAGAGAAACATGGAACCACTCTATAATTTGTAGACTATAATATACAGAAACCTCACAAAAATAAAACAAACCCTGTCCATTTGAATAGACGATTATTGCTAGCAGTCTAAAAACTGAACAAGTGGAGCTCTTAAAAAACACAAGTCATCTGAAGATAACAGGATGAATAGGGCTGGAATATAGATTCCTCTCATGAATTAAATACGCAGCAAAGTGTTTTCTCTAGGCAGGAAGTCAGACGAAATACCACTGCTGCTTTACAACAGGAAGGAGCTTTTCACAGAAGTGCAGCATTGATAATTTTAGTTAAGAGCTACTCAGCAAGAGATTGAAGCCTCCTGTGGGAATGAGTCTGTGAATGACTTCCACAAGGCTGGCATCCCACAGTGGGAAAAGGGATTATGATTCCAAAATTACCTCATCACATAACTATAGTGCAAGATGGTCTGCCATTTATATTTAGTTTCCTTTATAAGGAAAAAATTAAAGGTATCCTGAAATTCAGCTCTGTCCATCTAGAGAGGCCTGTTTTGACTGCAATCACCATCAACAGCCACAACCAACAGATCGCTTCACATTATCTTTAACTCAAGAGCTAACTTGCTGTAGTGGTTAAGAGCGGCAGACTCTAATCTGGGGAACAGGGTTTGATTCCCCACTCCTCCACATGAAGCCAGCTGGGTGACCTTGGGTCAGTCTCAGAGCTCTCTCAGGCCCACCTACCTCACAGGGTGTCTGTTGTGGGAAGAGGAAGGGATTGTAAAAACCTTCTCCTCCTCCTCCTCCTCCTCCAACACTCACCAGCTAAGGCAGTTCACCAGGAAGTCTAATGATGTGTTTTATGGAGTGATGGACTGTGTGAAACAGACCCAGGACACAACACTCTCCAGAACTGTATATGGATCCCCAAAATGATCTCTCTCTCTCTCTCTCTCTCTCTCATACACACACACAAACACACAAAACAAAATGGCAACTTTGAGCTGTAACTTGATATAGTGTGTAGTGGTTAGAGAGTCAGACTAGAATCTGGGAGAGTCAGGCTCAAACCTCTACTCTGCCATGGAAACTTCCAGGGTGACCTTAGGCCAGGCAAAGACACTCAGCCTAACCTACCTCACAGGGTGGTTGTTAGGACAAAATGGAGAAGAGGAAAATGATCTAAGCCAGTTTTGGTTCCCACTAGGGACAAAGACAAGGTATAAATGAAATAACATAAGTTTTTTAAACTTAAAAAAATTAAGGATGGGAACCTTAGTACTACATTCAAAAAGTAAGAGTTCTTCTACACCAATCCTCAGCATAGGTACTGTTTATTGCCTTCTTCTGTCACACAATAGCCTGGTTTCCCCTTCCCAACACAGAAGGAAAATCAACATGAAGGAGACTATTCTGCAAGGTCTAAGGAACAAGCTCTTTCCCAGCTACCAGAGATCTTTTCCTGAAGATGCCATGGAATGAACCTATTGACTTTTTACACATACCAAAATGAGTTCTGTCACTCTGTTGCCTCTCTGCTCCCAAGAGAAGAATTGGCAACTGAATTGGACTGTTCTTTGTAATTCACCCCACTCCAGCACTGTTAAATCAACCAAATCCAACCAGAACAGGAGCTTCAAATGGAAGGTGGTGTCTGTGCACTATTCAGGGCCATTCTTGCTGTATCAACATTCTCAGTGTAAGCAAAGGAAGTAGATATAATGAGGGGAAAAACGGACCTAACCATTATACAAAACTTCAATCCCCTCAGAAACAATTTTAACAAAACAAGGACTTCATATTGAGAGTTACTATCAGGAGATCGTGCCACTTGTGGAATTACTTAAATGAAAAGAGATCATTTGGAATTCACTTAGATATAACCAAACACCATTTGACTGCTCCTAATGATTTCTGCTTAGTTAATTTTCTAGTAGCCTTCACAGGCTTCAAGGTAAAAATAATACATTTTCCTGTTCTTGCCAGATTGCTGGAAGCTGCCAGTTCTTCAGCATTTCCAAAGTAAGGTCACTGGGGACAAGAGCCTCCAGGCAAGCTGGTATTAAAAAAACTGCTGCACACAGCACATGCACCGGCTGTCAGTCTTCCTGTACTTGAGGAGAAGAGCCAGGGATGGATTGAAGGCAGAGAGTCTTAGAAGAAAGCAATCTCCAACTGACTTGCTCCCAGAGCAACAGAGTCAAGAAGGTGCAGTCAAGCTGCAACCAGCCTATGGTGACCCCAACATGGGACATTCTAGGCAAGACATGAGCTGAGGTGGTTTGCCACCGCCTTCCTCCATGTAGCAGACCCAGTCTTCCTCAGTGGTCTCCCATCCAAGTGCTGACCCTGCTTGGCTTCCAAGCCCTGATGAGTTTAGGCAGGGGTCATTTCGTAGAAAAAGAGCTGCAGGAGCTCATTAGCATAAGATATGCTAATAAGCAAGTAGGCTAGTAGCATAATAGCTCATTAGCATATACCACGCCCCCTTCTCACTAGAGTTGGGCCGCAGAAGGAGAAAAGAGGAAAGGAAAGAGAGAGAGAGAGAGAGAGAAGGAAAGAAGGAAGGAGAGAGGGAAAGAAAGAGAAGGAAAGAAGGGAAAGAAGGGAAGAAAGGAGGGAAAGA